ACACAGAACAGAGGGGACACAGAGAGACATGAAGGGCAAGGGATCAAAACTAGAAACCATAGAATAAATCACACACAAGTACAATAATACAAAAATCACAAAGAACTAAAAACGCTGGGTCAGGAGACCCAGGACCCTGACAATTTGAATAGGTACTACAATCAATTCCCACCTTAGCATATGGTATAAAAAGCTTACAGAGTGTTATTGAAGCTATTCAAACACTGAAGGAATCACTTAGTTGTGTATTGTTCTGGCACACAAGCTATCTTAGCTGATAGGGGCAGTATCCTACTGCTGACACATACAGCCTTGGTTCATGATGATTCGTTTTCACCATTAGCGTGGGGAGAAGGGCCAAAGAGGAGTTACAGGAGCCGATGGCAGACCAGGCCAGCCAGGACACGAGGGTTTGACGGGTCCAATGGGAGCTCGAGGGCTGGAGGGAGAGCCGGGCCTTCCCGGAGCACCAGGCCCGAGAGGTCTACCTGTAAGTGACACGTTTAACCAGTATAGGAAATGCATACACTTAAGCCACATGCTAGCAGACTACATCTACTTTTAGCAGACATGCTAGTGGTTCTAGAGATGGCAGCACCTGATCCACCAGTTTGGTTTGGAATAATCTCAGCAATTATTTCTAACAAATGAAACTGGCAGAAACAGTGCAAATGCAACTGTTGGCTGCATTAACCCTTTGCAGTAACTTTGCAGTAATAGTATTCGTGATTTCACAGGGGCCAAAAGTGAGTGACGAGAAGCTTCGGGAAATGTGTTCAGCTGTTGTTGAAGGTGCCGTTTGTTCACCTTAATAAAACCTCACATTGAACCCAATGAAGGGTTGAGCAGTTAAATATTAAAACCTATTTGTTGCAATTCATCTAGAGCAATTAGCTGAATTTATGAAAGAACTCTCAAAAAAGCCAGCAGCCATTGGTGCCCCTGGTACTCCTGGACCTGCAGGTCCTCCTGGACTCCCTGGACCAGCTGGAGCCGCAGGAGCAGCAGGAGCTCCAGGGCCAATGGGTCCCAAAGGGCCTCCAGGCTACTTTGGACTTCCAGGCGCACCAGGACAAAAAGGTCAGTATGGCATTTCAAAAGTTTTCACCTTTAGTAAAAACTGAGCCTCGGTTTACTTACAGCTGTAAGTGGGTTGTTCATTATGTATGCGTTCCGCCCACACCATGACAGATAAGCTGCGAGGCTGTGATAGCCTTTTGCTTCTTCTCTATTTTCTTGGAGACCTTCCAATCCTAGAGTGGCTGTAGTGGAAAAAATTAAATTAATCCTTTAGAGAAAACAATGCTGTCAGCTCTGGCAGTATGCCTTTGTCTTTGCCAAAGCAAACGCTGAAAGAAGTTATGCAGAGAGCTCTGAGGATGGAAGAGAGTCACCGATGCATAACATTATACAATCAATGATGCACTAAACAGGGCGGAATCAGAGTGGAGTCATTAAGTTTCCTAATTACGCGCCTATAGCTGTGCCTCTCCATTTCATCTCAGCATTAATGTGCGTGTCCCTGATGTGTTCGGCTCCTGTGCAGGTGATGCCGGGGAGAGGGGAGACAAGGGAGACAGGGGAGAGGATGGTGTGGGAATCAAAGGAAGCCAAGGCGCACCAGGTGCACCAGGTAAGGATTCTTGTTGTAATTAGAGCAGAGCGCTGGTGACAGTAAACAGGGGGTCTTCGAAATGTCAAACTGAGCTGTGCAGTTTTTGTAGCACGTTAGAGCGATAACCCTCACTTATAAATATAAATATATGTACTGTACTGTCTAAAAGTCATTGAACTTGCTGAAATACAGGCTTTATCTCACAGCAGGTCAATTTATTTGTCAGATCATTCCATTTAAAATGCTCCACAAATCACCAACAGAAAATACCACAGTGTAGTGACCACTATAGAGCTCCGCTGTGGGGCTCTGGAAGTAAAGATTTCATAGGGATTTTGATTATTAGCCATTATTTTATAGCCGTCCAAAGCTGTTGTATTACTTGAACTGATAGTAGATGCACAAGTCTATTTGACATCAACCCTGTTTTTTAAAAATGCAATGTGAAATGTCGTAGAAAAAATAGTTTGTTACTTTATTTTTAAAAAACCCTCAATAAAGCTTCGACAGATCGCTTTTCATCACTGATCAAGGACAACAGTAACAACAGCAGAGAGTCAGGGCTCTGTTGGGCCAACTATTCTTTTAACTATTCCTTTAAGTAGCAATGACTTCATTCATTTCTTTACAAATAAAATTTTAAGCAGTAAAGAAAACATTACTGTTATTCACAGCCTTTCATCTGATGTACC